CGTTAATGATTTTGTTTTGGCTTCGTTCGAATACTTCATTTGGCTCTTTTTTCTTTTCTTTTTGCCTTCTTTTGGCTTCTGTAATCCGGTAGTTTAATACCCATCATTGCCTAGCATTGTTGTGAAGTAAACCTTAGGGCATGTCAATTTTGTTTGGTCTATAGACAGCTTTGATGAAGATAATGTGCGAATGGATTGTGGTACTCTGTGTACGAGAATGCAGTGGTAGGTGATTGATTAGCTTCCCTAACATTGATTGGTGATGTGTCCGTGAGCATTGATTGTGGAAGCTGTGATAGATGGTGGAAATTAGGTCAGTCTGAAAAGTGATAGATGCTTAATTCAAGTAGACAAGCTATGTGATTTGTGACATCCCCAATTTGGACCGAGTCGACCAAAGGAAAATGGCCACGGAATTGGCGAGTAGATCGATCTGAGGGTTGGTCATGGATCGGCTAGTATGGTTGGAACTGGTATTTAAAGGATAGGTCATGGTTCGATCAAAGGATCGTCCATGGATCGGCCAAGGAATCGGCAATGAAATAGCTTTCTAGTCACGCAAGTCGATTAGAGTGATTTGACCATGGATCGACCATTCGACCAAAAGAGTCAACAGTGGAACGATCTCGAACGGCTATGGATCGATGCCGTGCGAACATATGTCGGTCGCGGGTGATTCCGCTCAGCCATGCACCCATTGCAGGCATCCATGGACCGATTCCGTTGTGTTCGATTCCATACGGCTACATAACAACCGAGGGTCGACCATGGATCGTTGATACTCGAACATGGACCGGTCGTGAATCAACCATGGATCATTGCGTTGAGTCAGGTAAGCCATAAATGGGCCATGTACCAAGCCAAGAGCCTTATGGCTTAGTCGCGGACTAGGCTTTATGCCGGTCATACAAGCCAAGCCTTTTGCCCGGCCATGGACCAGTCGTGAGCCGTCAATCAAGCCAAAAGCCAGCCTTGCACCCGGCCGTGTACCAGTCATTGTGCTTGACATTTGTGCCTAACTTTGTACCCATCAGTACCGGCTAAAACAAAGTCTAGTGCCGATCAGACTTGCCCGCGAACCAGGCATTGTGCCCGTCTGTATGCCAATGTATGTGTTCGGTCCATGTTCCGGCTCCTTGCTCATACAGCCCGGCCGTGAGCCAGGCCCTATGCTTGGTTAGGCCCAATCGAATAGGTCATGCGCTTGGTCAGTCCGGCTGGTCTAGCCTTACGCCATTCAGCTCGGACTTTGGCTCGATTATGTCCGATTATGCTTGGACATAGTTCTACACCGAACTTCGATCCGAATAAGATGGTCGATCATGAATGAACACGTAAACTCCTAGTTACCTTGGTTCGTCTCTTAAATAGGTAATAATGAATTTTGGGAGTTTAGTTATTGGCTTAGGTGTCTTGTGCCAATAAGTTAGTGATCTTGGAAAATAGCAACAAGCTACACACCCAAAGACTTGATGGGCAAGAAGACAAGTTGATTTAGTCAAGTCAATAGCTTTATTAGAAACTTATCTTGGAAGTTGGCTAATTTATCTTGCAATCTTGGACGTTGGCTAACTTATCTTGCAAGTTGACTAACTTTCCTAGCAAGTTGGCAAGATGGCCTATAAATAGAGGCATCATTCCTTCATTCTTCACCTCTAGCTCCCCTCTCCTCCTTTGCACGCCACTCTCTCTCTTCCTCTCCTCCCTCTTGCTCTCACGTCCTTTCATCGTCGCCTTCTCTCTCTCTCGCTCGTGCCCCTTACGGTGCGGCTCGCCCCCACCGCCGACCACCACCTTTAGGCATGTTGTAAGTAGACTTTCTAACCCTTGGTTATGGCATTGTGTTACGTCGGTAGGGCGGGATGTGTTCCTAGTCATTACTTGTGATTATATATGTTGTTTGAATGAATTCCTATTGCTTATTCATGTGAGGTTTCTATGTTTTGTTCACGTGCAACTTTGTATGGTTTGCTCATACGTTGGAAGCACACTCCGAGCCATGGACGGGTCTCGCTTGGTTGGGATCGGCGTCGAGATGCGTCGGAACGAACCTCGCTTGGCGGGTCGGTATTGAGGCGTACCGATTCAAAGCCTTGCTTGGTGTAGGTCGGTATTTTAACCAGTCAGTTTGGGCCACAAACTTGGTGCCGTGCCCGGCATGATGTACGGTTTTGGAAAGGTAAAGCATATTATATACTTGGCATGATTCACACCCTCGAGCTTTGCTTGTATCGGCTAATGTAACGAAGATAAGAAGCCGAATTGTGATATTTGTTTGCATGGTCACACGAGGGAATAAACCTAGCCGTCACCCTTGGATTAGGGGACATTGCCCGATTAAGTACCGATGCCCGATGGATTGGTTGTCGGAGGATCGCCGTCACCCTTGGATTGGGGGACGTTTCCCGATTAAGTTCGGATACCTAATGAATTTCGGATGATAGCCGTTGCCCGGTGAATTTCGAAAGAACCGTGTGAACGGTTGAAATAATGAATGAACCCTCTTGTGTATGCTCTTTGTTTTAGTATGATGGCTTTAAATTGTGTGAACCTCCCGTTGTGCTTGCTCTTGTTCTAGTGTGATGGTGTTATTCATGTGTACGCCATTTATATATCATGCTTGATGTTCTCTTGGTAGATGCGTGAACCATGAATAGTACATAGGCAAGGTAAGGCACGCCTTTGCTATTCATTGCCATCGACACTTGACACGATGATGTTCAAGTGCTTGGTTCGACAGTGAGGCATCCTTCTATCCGATGATTAGTAAGTTTACTTACTGAGTCCTTAACTCACTCCGTTGTTTTTCAGATTTGTAGGCATGGAAGTCTCACACCAGTTTTGGGAGCTGTAATCACGCTAGAGGAGATAGGAATTTCCCCCAGCCTACGCGGATACGTGTAATGTGTTGAAAAGAGAAAAAGGCCCGTAGAAAAGGGACTTGTAAAATACAATCATGTAAATATAAGGTTTGCTCATGATGCGTTTTTCCCTGATCCCGTTGTTTGAAAATGAAGGAGGAGAGAGAGAATGGCTTAACAACATCATCCAAATGAAGGGTTGAGATCATCCCTCGGTTCCCAAGTCAAGATCCAAAGGCTAGGGTTGCTTCTTGAAAAGATTTCTAGAAAGGGCAATTAAGAAAATAACCAAAGCAAGAGGGGCAATTTTGTCTAAGAAATTCGTTCACACTAGGGGGTTACAAAGACCAACATGCCCTTCCACTCAACCAAGAAGTCTTAGAACACTAAGGGGTGAAAGGGTCTTTTTCAAATTCCGAGCCGAATTTCACTTTTTCAAGAATTTCCGAATAAACCGATAACTAAGTGAGCTTAATGAGGCAACGTCCAATATAATAGTTTTGATATCCTTGAAAGTTCGATACCCAAGCTCGGATTCCAATTCATGGCCAAAATCGATCAATTGCGACTTTAGTATATCTCAAACTAATGGGCGGCTCTTAGGAGTTACGCGTATTCAACCCGTGGTTGATTCGATATCAAGCCACATTTAAGTTTACTCAAGCTATGGTGACCTCAGTTGTCATGTAATTGTGAGGGTCAATCATTCCGAAGGACACGATCGTTAGAAATTGGTTTAGGAATGTTCGTAATCCATACAATGGCCAAACAGAATCACCCGCGATCCAATTGTATAACATTGGCAAATCATTCCATAACCATCCTTGGATCGGTCTATAATTGCCCAAAATATCCCCTCGTCAATCCTTATGATTGAAGTGTCAATCCAAGGTCGAGTTCTTAGGTCGTGCGTACTTAATTCCTAACTAGCCATTCCCTAACGGTTAGTCTTCTCATGAGTGATCAATTCAGAGTAAAATTTAACTAGAAGTGCATCAATGAGATAATCATTTCATAAATCCCGAAAATGGGTCGAATTTCAGAATGTCACACCCTTCGTGGAAGTAGACTTGACTTCTATTAACTTTTTCCACGTGATGTTAGTTGTTTCTACAAGTTTCTAGTTACATTTTTGTGTCTTTCAATCGCATAATGTCTATTCAACTAGGGGTATTGGGTCTACAAGTTGGCTGAATAGACATTGCGCATAGCACAGGCCAACCCAGGAGGAACCCAAAGGTTCCATTTCGTCACCCTAGGCGTGGGAGGCTACTATACCTGTCTAACCAGTGGTAACTAGCCGAAACTGATGTAGAGTCTACCCTCTTCACCTAAAGCCTCCTAAGTTGCCTCCCAATCTTTGTCTTCCCAGAAGAGAGGGAATACGGAGAGAACTTACAAGGAGATCCCTCCACCATACCGAGAATTCCTTCCCCTGTCTTCCCTTAAGCCTTGTAAGGACCTGCTCAAGTCCAAGTTTTTGTGGTCTTTCTAATTTCAGAAATAAGCATTGCTCGGTTGTTACATGAGAACATATATTGTATAGAAACAAATAATGGTCGGTTGTGACAAACTCAGGTCTTTGCTCATTGTTCATTGACTCGTATTTTTGTTATGTTTAACGGGAAATTATGTGGGTTCACATGACCGGAGCGAGAGTAAATTGTTGCCCAATTCTTCCTTTGTGCAAATTGTTGTGGTAAAGAAAGCTGCTCCAACCTCCGGTCCGAGCATTGTACTCCAGTCTTTATGTCAACACTATGAATGTAGTGATAATAAGGATTGAACATTGGATACCATTCGTCTTCTAGCTGAAGTAGCTGTTTTTTTTATGTAGCTGTTTTTTTTATTCTATCTCCCCTTTAGTTTCTCACTCAACGGACATATCAAAGAATCACATCAGGACAATTTTTTACCAAACACTAGCAAGAGAGAGTTGAACTGGCTACTAAACTAATCGTTTCACACTTCGTTTCTAAATCGCCTCGAGTAATTGCCCATTGTTTCTCTAGGTGATGATCGTAGGGATTCCCACCAAATAACAACATGTAAGAGTGTGATTACCACCTTTGTCAGCGGGAATTGCAATCATTTGTCACAGTGAATGGTGTACACAATAATACTACAATAGACAAAGTAGAGAACCAAAATAGAATAATGAGAAGCATGAATAACCAATCAGCCATTCTAAAATAGCTCGTCGAATGAAACTTTGGCTTTTTAATAGCTTACACTAGCACTTTTAAAGTGAAATCTGCTCTTTTTTCATTGTCAAGGTGACGCAATAAGATTTAACTACTTCATCACTAGCAACAACCTTACAAACAATCCAGTCAATAAAATGTAAAATGATCATCTCCCTACAAGTACACTATTTGTAAGGGGGGGAAATCAGTCTCCTATTTTAGGGAAGGAAGAGACAATTGGCAAATATGACCCATTCAAGCCTTCAAATAGAAATCGGAGGTGAAATCTAACGAAAGCACCATATATTCCGTGTGCTCATCCAAAAACCAATCAGATTCACCATCAGGATTGACTCAAAATGATGAGGATTCCTCTCATCCAAGAATTATGAGGGTTCCTCCCGACTATTTATGCTACAACCATACATTGTCTCTGCCTATCGAATCGCTCAACTCATTCATCCCAGGTTGCTAAAAAGAATTTGATGACCCTGTATAAAAGAATAACGAATATATTTACATTCTACTAAACAACATGCCTAGATAAATATTGTCTCAAGTAATCGCACATCTTAGCCTTCCTCACTCCAAATCATTTGCCAATTGCATAGGCTACATACTTATGATATGCTTCAAGTTCATCTCAAAATACCATTCCTACTACAAACTCAAAATCTTTTTCCATATCACGCATTACATGTGCGAGATGGGATGTTTTATGCTGCAACCAAAAGAACAAAAAGTATTTAACGTAGTACTTTTTCAAGCAAAACATCTCATCCGTGACTTAACAAAGCATAATATGTTTCACATAGTATGAGTAAATATTACCTCTGATTCAGCCTTCTAATAACTTTACACGTGCAAATTAACTGTTTTGATGACTTTAAAATAGAGAAACAACAATAATCTTGGCAAAAGCTAGGTTCAATGGAGCAAAAATCACAATGGATGGATGTTCTAGTGGCTTCTCTCGGTTGTTCATAATTGAGTATTGAAAATTTACACCAAAACTGATCAATCCACTACAATACATTCTGGTTGTTCAGAATTGGCTTTTGAAAGTTCAAATACAAAACAAGTACCATATGATGTTTAACCACACTAAAAGAACACCATCAAAAGTGCTCACAGCCATGCATCTCACAAAAATGTCCTCCTGCACCTGCACATCTTTATTCTCAACAATTACAAAGCATATTCACAAAAAAGAAAGAAAAAAACATTCCTAATTATATGTAAATGATGTTTTGCACATCTCTAGTTTTGCTCTCTACTCATGCCTCTCAACGACTCTTCACTATTGTTTTAATTTCAAAAAATGCAAAATTATCAAGCATCTCGAAGCAAAGCCAAATTGAAACCACAAGATGACTAAGGGAATACACCACTAGCAACAAAAATCTCAATCAGTTTGATTTTATTCGAGCAATCACGGAGCTCATCTACTTGAATTAAGCATCTACCACTCTCAAACCGACCTAATTTTCACCATCTATCATAGCTTCCACAATCAATGCTCACGCACATATCACCAATCAATGTTAGGGAAGCTAATCAATCACCTACCGCCACATTCTCATACACAAAGTACCACAATCCACGCGCATGTTATCTTCATCAAAGCAGTCCGTAGACCAAACAAAATTGACATGCCCTAAGGTTTACTTCACAACAATGCTAGGCAATGATGGGTATTAAACAACCAGATTGATGAAGCCAAAAGAAGGCAAAAAGAAAAGCAAAACAAGCCAAATGAAAGATTCAAACGAAGCCAAAACAAAATCATTAATGCTAACCTGAGCTCATCGTGCGTAGACAACAAATCTAAGTCTCCAATGGGGCTCTGGGAGGCGATGGCGGAGGCTGCGTGGTCGGGAGTGAAGAAAAAGACACTACGCAGCAATGGGAGCGAAGGGGTCGGCGAGCTCCCTGGATCCTAAACACGGATCAGAGGCACAAAGAATGAAGAGTGTAGAGAGAGGAGCGGAAGTGCAGAGCCGAGAAGAGAGTAGAGTAGAGAGAGGAGTGGAGTCATGAAGAGTGGAGTCGCTAAACAGGACAGAGAGAGAGAAGAAGCTTTCGTGTGAAGAGAGTAGAGTAGAGTGGCAACTGCTATTGGCAATAACAAAGAGCAAACGGGAAACAAACGGTGAGATAAGGGAGAAGGTTTTTGAATAATCTCTTATCGGTGGGTCCCAAAGGACACATGTCGTAATCTGGGTGGTATATCTCAGCAATGACATGGTGAGACTATCTTCGCCAATATTTTCTCAATATGAACACCGACTCCAGTGGTTAAGGTGCTCTTTTATTTTGATTAGGGGTCAATCCAGCCTCATCTGCCTCAAGTTTCATATTCTTTCACCAAGTTAAACACTTGTTCTTGACCGATCTAGGTTGAATAGGAAAATTTGAATTGGCACATAGTCCTATTCCCGATCACACAGGCCAATCTAGGCTTGAAAACACTGCTATCGATGGCCTTTCCTCGAACCACTTTTTATGATGAGCCGCCATGTGCAACTCTTAAGAGCAAAGAGTCCGAATTAGCTTAGGCATCTCTCATCCCAAAAGCTAGCTCAAAGTGTGAGACTTTCCCTTACACTTATAAATTGACCACATGCCCCTTTCATGACCTCAACAATCTTCCTCTCACATAGGTAGTGGGTCAAACTAGCAACAACTCGTATCTTCCCTATGACTGTTGGGTCGGTAATCTGGGTTATGATACTAGTGTTGGATAGTTTTTGGCCCTTCTTACCCCTAAAGTTAGTTCAAAGAGTAAGGTTTTTGCTCACACTTATAATATTTATAAACTGACCACTTGCTTCTTTCATACGATATGGGATAACCCTAAAAAATTTATCCATCAATTCCAGGGTGTCAACTTTAACGCATGTCATTTATATCAATTTAGCTTAACTTCAACATTAGAGTAATTCATCAAAATGAGTGTCTCAAAAATAAAAATTGACATGCTTTCGAGATGAAAGTTAACATAATTGTTTATTTGTTCATTAAACTATCAAAAGAGAGCTATATTTTTCCTCATCCACTTAGTTTCGGCATGAGCATAGTGTAACGACCCGGTCCGACGAGGGTGGGAAGTGGTCGTCGGGGCCGGTGGATTTTGGCTTGAGCAAGGAGTGGCTTCTGGCAGGCTTCTAGGATGGCAATGGGGGGCATGTCTCTTATCCCACATCGCCTAGGAGGGGAGTCTTGGGCTACTTTATAAGGCTTGGGGTTCTATATCTGTGTAACGCGTTTTAAAGCCGCGAGGGTCAGTGGGCTCAAAGCGGACAATATTACACAGTGTAGACCCGGGGTGTTACAATTGGTATCAAAGCCGACTTCGGACCGCGTGTGGGGCCACAACGGGGACGCTATACCCGAAGGGGGGGGGGGAGAATGTAACGACCCGATCTGACGAGGGCGGGGAATGGTCGCCGGGGCCGGTGGATTCTGGCCTGAGCAAGAAGCGGCTTCTGGCAGGCTTCTAGGATGGTAAGGGGGGACATGTCTCTTGTCCCACATCGCCTAGGAGGGGAGTCCTGGGCTAATTTATAAGGCTTGGGGTTCTATATCTGTGTAACGTGTTTTAAAGCAGTAAGGGTAAGTAGGCTCAAAGCGGACAATATTACACAGTGTAGACCCGGGGTGTTACACATAATGTGTATATTATCTCTATCTATCTATATATATATATATATATATATATATATATATATATCTATATTATCTCTATCTATCTTATTAAAGGAAAAGTGACATTCGTCTCACTATAGATTTTCAATTGAAGTGAAAAAAAGTATAATAGATCTCTCATAAAGTTATTTTTCTACTTTTACTTTTGCTTATCAATTCCTTCAAAATTTAAAAATAAAAAGTTACAAATTTTAAAAAAACTACGTAAAATTCTATCCGTTATTATTTAGAAATTTGAAAGGTTTCAAGTCCTTCATTTTAAATAAAGGTTAAAGTGTGAATTGCTGCAAAAACGTACAAACAAGATAAAGTTAAAATTGTGAGTCACACAAAAATTAATTCTTATTCTTCGAGTTTCTTTTAAGAATTAACTTGCGCATGGATTTTACTTTTCATTGATCTTATGCTTCCTTCGTTCTACTCCGCATATGCACGGGCACCTCACCATAGTCTTCCCTCAACCCTCATCGTCCTTCATTTATCCTACACATGTAAGATAATGTAGGAGTCTCACTTTGGTTTTACAGGGTTCCCCAATCAACCTAACATATAAAAAAATGGAAAATTAGACTTTACATACATATTTAGGGAAAATCACCAAAAAATTCTAAATGTATTGCACTTGTACCTATTTAATCCTAAATATTTTCACATTTTGCCAATTGAATCCATCCGGCTAATTTTGGCCGGAAATTACTAACGTGGACACCGACTGTTCTTCGTGGCACAACCGGCTATGGCATAGATAATTTTTAATAATATATTATACTTTTTCGAATTTTTTATTTTCTTTTTCTTTTTCCTTTTTTTCTTTTCTTCTCTTTTCATTCTTTGCTTTTTTTACTATGGCCAACGAGGGTCGCCAAGCTCTCACTAGCCGTGAGCAATGGTCGCGGCTCACTTGGATCTAGTCCAAGCCATCGCAGGGGAGGCCACCTTGCCCATGGCCGCGGCTGGCAAAGGCTTCGCTGCCCTTGCCTAGTGGTTGGTGAGGGCCTGGCGACTCTCGCCGGCCACTAGTAAAAAAAGAAGAAGGAAAAGAGAAGAAATTAAATAAGGAAAAAAATAAAATTTTCAAAAAAATTGTCCACGTCAGCGCCGACAGTGCCAGATAGGACATCCAGCATCCACGTCAGCTATTTCCGATCAATTTTGGCCGGATAGACTCAATTAGTAAAACGTGAAAAGATTTAAAAATCAATTTGTACAATTAATAGGTTTAGGACTGAATTGGCAAAAGTGAAATAAATTTACGACTTTTTTGGTAATTTTCCCTACATATTTGTGTAGATTTACTTTACTTTTTTATTTTTAACATAATGTAAGTTTTATAATTCATGTCCTTTGACTTTTTTTTATAAATCCAAGACCCCTGAAACTTTCACAACACTCAAATATTGACACATTGATTCAAATATGGTTTTGTTGCTAATTTTCTAAAATATGAAAATCATTTAAAAGTTGACGATGAAATTAAAAGCATGTTTGGTGCAAAAGAGCAGGCCAAACTCTGTCGATGCCAGAACAAGAAAGGGTGCAATAGAACACAGAGATCTCGTGAGCTGACCGGTAGAGGCGCAATGTCTGGTTGCACGTGACATGCACAAAAGAAAGGTTAGTTAGGTGAGATGAGTGGGACACGTGACCCTTATTAACTCGGATCATGTGTGATGGAGGAACTCCACGTATTTCATCACGTGGTCTGATGTTGTCGCAACAATTTATGCATCCGATGCTTTTCTTGGCATGGACTAAAGGAGGTCTGACCATGTCATTGATAGACCGTTAGGTGAAGATTCGATATCCTCTTTGTGCAAAATTGAATCATTTGCCAATTTCCATATGCCGCAGCTAAATCTAAATAGTGTTATCAAATTGAGTAGTTTAGTCGTCAAAACACTACATAAGATAAAATAAAATATGAAACCAAAGTCAAACCGAAATACGGAATACGACGTTATAATCACATCTAATCCCAAAATATTTAAGATGGTATTTATATATTTCGTTTGGTACAATACTGGGTATGACGCCAAATGTAATGATATCCATTTCCCAAAAATGTATTCGGTGAACCTGAATTAGAATTGGATGTAAGTTTAAAAGTACCCAGATAAAGTATTTGAAAAGGATAAAAATAGACATTTGATCTAGAGATGTTTGTGGCAACCATCACTACGGCGTTGGTCACCTCTATTTCGTTAGAGAATCACCACGACAAAAACTTTTTGAGAGAGGAGAGGTTGGGTGACATGCATGTGAGTCACAATTGATAAGTTAGGCAATCACCACACGATGGTCGTCGTCGCCTAAGGAGCTCAATAGCGTGGTGGCTGCCTGAAGACAACGACCACCATTGTGGTCGAGTAGTCTTCGATTTGTTAGATCTATGATTGAGTGGGAGAAAAATGTGGTTTACTAATTATCCTGACTATTAAGTTGTAGACAACATGGCTAATGCGTCACATGGATGAAATTATTCCTTTTCTTTTTTCTTTATTTTTTTTACCAATTCAAATGATAGAATTTATATCCCATCCCCCTTAGACCCGGACTAGTGACCCCAAATAAGTCATCTACCATTTTATTCAGACTTATTCGGGTTTGTCCCCACCGAGGAAAACTCACCAAACGTCGGATCGAATAATTCATTAACCTGAGCTACCATCCAAGTTACCAAACATGTCTTTAGTACCAATACTAAAAGGGAGGTTGACAGAAAACCTATATTTTTTGTGTGGCCCAAACACAAGTTAATATAGAACACACGTTCGCCAATTAATCCTCTTCTATATCTGTGATAGCATCATGCAATGTTTTCAAGAATGGAGGAACCTTTCTCATACCGGCATTTTAATTGGTGGATTAGTGCATGGATATCACTCATGTTTTTATTTTGGGGTTAATACTACGAAAAACCTCAAATTTGTATACATATGATAAATTTATCCCAAACTAATGACCACCAAAAATCTCAAACTAGTATATCTGTGACAAATTTATCCCAAACTAATTTTTTGACTATCAAAAACACCAAACTAACACATTTGTGACAAATTTATCCTTCATTAAATTGGATTAATATCACGAAAAATCACAAATTGGTAAACTTATGATAAACGAAGGGGTAAAACTCTAAACCGGTATACCTGTCAACTGTCACGTGTCATCCAACTTAGTAATTTGATAGAAAAATTTAACGAAAATTAACGGAAGATAAATTTGTCATAGATGTATCAGTTTATGGTGTTTTAGGTCAAAAATTATTTTGAAATAAATTTATCATAAATATATCAGTTTGAAATTTTTCATAATATTAATAATTTATTTTGTTGCATTTTGATCAATGCGATGTCCATAACTTATAAAGTGTCAATCTTTCGTTAATAGACAGAGGGAGAATATAGCCCTTCTGCGAAAGGGCGTAAGGTAAGTACACGCATGCGTGCTGAAGTACCCATCTAACTTTTGGCCTATATTTTTTTTTTGGATGACGTGGCGGTTGAAATTTTCAATCAAATCGGTGGTTTGTCGAATTCACTACTGATTGGTGTCGAGACCGCTACGTCGATAATCACGTGGACCTATGGATTCGTCTGGCATTGGCATAGAAGGTCCCACATGACCCCCATAATTGAATAATCTGCTGTGAAGCCGATTGAATATTCGTAGTCGTACATAAACAAATAGCACGCGATCCACGCGCACGACTGATAAAGTTCTCGACAAGCGAGAAGGAATCCAATGGTCAACATTAACAATCACAGGGACATTTACAGAAGCTAAAACTAAGAAACTAAAAAGATTAATACCATCAAAAATCCTAAATTAATATATTTGCGATAAATTTATCTCGAACTAATTTTTTGATCACTAAAAATCCAAAACTAGTACACCTATAGCAAATTTACCCCAAACTAATTTGTTGACCGCAAAAAACTCCAAACTGGTACACTTGTGATAAATTTACCTTTCGTTAAATTGGATTGACACCACAAAAAATCATAAATTGATAAATATGTGATAAACAGAGGGGTAAAACCCTAAACTGGTACACTCGTTAACTGCCACGTATCATCCAACTCAGCAATTTGACTGTAAAATTTAACGGAAACTAACGGAGGGTAAATTTGATATAGGTGTACCAGTTCAAAGTTTTTCATGGTATTAATCCAAACTAAAATGGATTATGTGCTTTTCAATGATGAAAGACATCGAGCTGTTACGGCTTTTCTTTTGTAACTTGTCTTGTGGCCCGATATGTGTATACTATATTGATGTCGCCATTGGCCTGTACGCGTGGGCGAGGGAGGCTAGTGGTAAGAGTTCGGTTACCATCAAGTATAGATAATCTCATATTTGAGTCATTCACTCGGATTTTTACTCACATCTCACTTGATCCGTGAGTTTAACGGTAACTTTGCCGGGGCTACTTACTTAAGATCGGCTTCATTATTGTAAAATAATAATAATAATGACGTCATATTCTATTGTGTCGATTTGATGAGCCAGCCAATTTGTAATCTTGATTGATTTGGTAACGATGTATATCCTCTTCTCTTTGCAATTGGCGCCCAATTTGCAGCTGCATTTGCACTTCTTACTATCAAAACAACATTTAAACTTTTAGGGTTAATACCACAAAAAATTAAAAACTGGTACACATGTGACAAATTTACCCCAAACTAATTCTTTATATGAAAAATTCCAAACTAATACACATGTGACAAACTTACCCAAAACTAATTTTTTTACGACAAAAAACCCCAAACCGGTATACTTGTGATAAATTTACCTTTCTTTAAATTAAATTAATACCACAAAAAATCATAAACTAATACAACTATAACAAATGGAGGGTGAAACCCCGAACAAGTGCATCCGTCAATTGCCACGTGCCATCCAATTAAGAAATTTGATAATAAAATTTAACGTAAACTAAAAGAGGGTAAAATTATCACAAGTGTATAAATTTGAAGTTTTTTGTGATAAAAAATTAATTTTGGGTAAAAAAAAATTATGTGTACCAATTTAAAAGATCTGCAATACGTGCTGAAGCATCATGCATGTGCGCAAAATCTGGAAGTGTTGGGAGCGTGAGGCCCTCCTCTAAATATAGCTACTGTACGACGTACGTGCTGGGTTCATCGAGAAAGGGACCCATCTGATTCTTGATGACACCCTGGCAATCAAATCTCCACCTTCCTTTGTGCCACATACAGCTAAAGCCTACAGTCACGTTGGTAAATAACTTTGGATGCATTTGGGAGAACATTTGAGAGAATCCATGCATAAAATCAAACGACTTTTTAGATCATGACCCAAACACTTTTTTACAGACTTTGATATCATTCGGGAAAGTAATTTTTAAAAATTAAAATTTGACCCCAAAAAGTTTTCAAAAAAAAAAAAGAGCTCGAAGAGATCTCGAAATTAGGTGAGTGAGAGGCAGCTGCGATCTTAGGCGAGGGCTGCCGAGGTCGCGCCACCTTAGGTAACACCACCCTGAGGTCACACGACGTAGATGTCGAGATTGCGTGGCCTTGGTAACGCCACCTGATGCTCGAGCGACCTTAGGCGATGCCATCCGAGTTCATGTGATCCCAAGCGACCCTCGCTTGAGGCCCTCACTTGAGGTCATGCGACCTTAAGCAAGGGTTGCCAATGCCAAATTCAACTCGCCTATTCTAGGCGAGACGACTCTAGGGCCACGCCGCCTTGGCCGACGGCTGCTAGTGGCAGATCTGAGGCGATGCATGTTCATTTAGGGTGCATTTCAAGGACATGCGCCTCTCTGAGAACCGCAACCAACCAAACCAAACTACTTTTGAAGTCCAATCAATCAAAACACTTGGCAATTCCCATGACCATTCATCTCCCTTTTAGAGCTGTTTACTCTATGGGCTTTATGCCTCCTCGAATGTGTGAAATTCTTTGTGGAATAATGTATATTTTTGTGGGAAAAAATGCAAAAAAGTTAGATCGCCTAAATTTGGAGGCGTCGAATCTTTTCATACAAAAAGTGACAATGCGATCAATAAATTTGAAGCTCATTATCTAGAGGCAAATCTATTCCGAAAGTGAGGTTGAACTAGAATCTCAAAGTGACATCTCCCTTTTTGTCATCTCCCTTTTTGTGGGAAAGAGTTGTTGTAGGAACCCACGAGAGCACGGGAGAAAGAGTTGTTGTAGGAACCAACGGGCCATTGTCACACATAGTAAGACGAGATAAATATAAGAGACAAGAAAGGGTGGTGCCCGAATCATAGCTCTCAAAATTGGTCAATTTTTGGTTCGATCTTTGATTCGATTTTAGGTGAACAAGTAGTCTATCAAATCGCATGTGAATCTCTCGATTTCCTAGCGAATTTGCGATTTGATGCCTATCTAATTCAACCAATTGTTCGACCAAAAAAAAAATTCAACCAATTGATAATTTCTTGTATAAACTTACACATCAAATGTTGTATCTTTTGTTGTGTTTTTTACTATTGATGCTGTATCTTGATAACTATGGAAGATTAAAAGTAAATTTTACAATTTTCAATTCAATAATAATGATACGACTTCTGTGGCTTATATTTACATGTAATACGGCTTATTTAATATACATATATGTGTACCTTTGTTGAAGCTTACGAACCAATTTGATTTTCAATTCGCAATTTATAGATTTAAGATTTTGATTCACATACCTATCTCGATTAATAATTATGGCCTGAACTTTTTCCGATTGATGTCGTCTTTTTTTTTTGTCGAACTGATTGATGTTGTTTGTGCACCTTTTTTATTCATTCAATCGGATCCTTGAACTTAACAATTCTTTTTTGGTTCATGTTAATCTTTCAATGAGAAATATAGACGAAAACGTTCACGTAGCATGCCGTATCGTCGCTGAATAGACCAAATCAAAATGACAACACGGGGATCAAACATGACATCATGATGGGCGGAATTTTGCCCAATATATACGGACGGGACGTTTATTTACTTTGGTGAGGACTAATCAAATGATCAAAGAGAAAGATTTGGATATTTTTATGGTTAATACTATTAAAAATTTCAAACTAGTACATTCTTATCGTATTTACCTCAAATTAATTTCTTTATTGCAAATACTCCCGAATTAGTGCACCCGTGCTGCATTTATCCCAAAATGGCGCACTCGTGCCACATTTACCCAAACTACCTTTTATTTCACAAAAAAATTCCCAAGTTGATACACACGTGCTACATTTTCCCGAAACTGGTGTGCCCGCCCCACATTTACCTCCAAAAAATCCCATATTTACCACAATTTGGGGAAAATATGTTATGGATGTACCCGTTCGAGATTTTTTGTGACACAAAAATTAGTTTGAGGTAAACGTGGTATGGATGTATTAGTTTGGGGCTCTCGATGGTATTAGCCCTGAAATTATTATAAAGAAAATAATAAGATGGACGAACAAAACATGATAAAAAGAAAAAGCTGAAAAACAAAAGCCTTGGAAATTAGTTTGACAAGAAAAAAAACACCTCAACATTTTGTCAGAAATCTGGCAACTTGATTGTACTTTAGTGACAAGTTTTAAAACTTAAATGTACTTATATTTTAATGACAAAATTTTCGTATTTTCATTGAACTTATTCTTAAAAATAAAAAATCCTAAAAAGTGGGCTGAACAGTTGGTGGAAGTTCATTGACTCGAGGATCAACAGAAGATCGGAGGAAAAAGAAGAAACAGAAAAACAACAGATTTGAATCCCGTTGTTGAGGATGGTGGATCGAGAAACGGATGGAGAGACGACCCTCCTAATCCAACCGTCGTCCAGCAAATAAAGAACACAAACAGTCGAAATAGGAAAATGTGGAGGTCGGGGCGTTACAGCTCGGAGTTGCCAGATTTGCGTATCAGTGGTGGTGTGAGCACCTCGACGATAGACGGATGACAACGACACGACATGCCAGTTGCTACAGCACGTCGACCCTTCGGGGTTCGATGATTAATGTATGCCTATTATTAAACAAAACGAAAACCCCACCTTCCTTGTCTACTTCTGTTCTCACTGTTTCCCGTCCCTTCCGTCCTTAGATCTTCTTCTCTGTCCCTCGCACGGGCATTTCGGCGAACGGATAGAGTGCGGTCTTGGAGATTGAGTGCTGGGCTCTCTTCGGTTCGAGCCGTTCCTGATCCGATTGGGAGGAGTTCGGTGTTGGGAGCGCGGGGGAGAACATGAGCTTCAGAGAGGAGAATGAAGAGGGGAGGGATCTTAGGAAGCCGTTCTTGCACACGGGAAGTTGGTATCGGATGAGCTCGAGGCAATCCAGCATGATGGGCTCTTCTCAGGCAATTCGCGAGAGCTCCATATCGGTTGTGGCCTGCGTCTTGATTGTTGCTCTGGGTCCTATTCAGTTCGGCTTCACTGTAAGGAACTTTCTCACTCTGTCTTTGTCGATTAATTTGCCCCTTCCGTCGCTCGAGCGCGATTGCAAAAGCACTGCTATACGGCGTGAAAAGCCCTTTTTCTTGATTGTCAAACAACGAAATCAGCTCTGGTCAAGAGTAAATGAGGATGGGTAACTTAAGAAATTGGCATTGCTTTTGCACTCAATTCGTTTAACTGAAAAATGGGCAGTTTAGTTGCTGTTGATGTTCTTATCTGAGTGTTGATTGCTTATAAACAGTCGGGTTACTCATCGCCGACGCAATCTGCAATCGTGGAGGATCTTAGTCTTACTGTCTCCGAGGTGTGAATCTCTCAACTCTCTATCTCAAATTTGTACTGGGTTTTCTTGAGTACAGCGGTTAATCGGATTCTGGGTCAGTTCTCCTGGTTTGGTTCGTTATCAAATGTAGGGGCTATGGTTGGGGCAATCGCCAGCGGTCAGATTGCGGAGTACATTGGACGAAAAGGGGTTGGATTGAATTTGTTGATTAGCTTTTCTTTGTCAACATTGCCTTTTTGCAGTAAAGGTTTGCTTGTTTTGATTAATGTGATGGAGGCTTACTGTATGTTGTCAACTGCAGTCTCTGATGATTGCTTCCATCCCGAATATCATTGGATGGCTTGCCATTTCCTTTGCTAAAGTGAGTTCTTGTATTTAACTATGTATGCCATATGTTGTGGCATCTAGAAGGGAAGTGCTGGAGCATGACATTTACAATGTTCTCTTAGGATTCTTCTTTTCTGTACATGGGAAGATTACTAGAAGGCTTCGGTGTGGGCATAATTTCTTATACGGTACATTCTATTCTGCTCTAGTGTGTATCTTTTATAGTAGATTAAAGAATGGGAAAATTGATGATGCCACCTATTTTGATATCCATAGGTGCCTGTATATATAGCTGAAATCTCACCTCAGAACATGAGAGGTAGCTTGGGCTCGGTGAATCAGGTTGGCTTGCTTGATCACTAATTGAGATTTTCTTCCTGAAATAGGCTAAGTCTCCAGGTAGTAACAGCGTGATTTGTGGGTTTTTAGCTCTCAGTTACTATCGGGATACTGCTGGCTTATCTGCTGGGACTTTTTGTCGAGTGGAGGATACTTGCGGTTTTAGGTAAAGCTCTCAAAGCTTGGTTCATGGTTGTTAAGCGCATATTTTCTTTTTATCTATTGTTGCTTCATTAGTTGGTTAATAAAATCATTTAACTTGTAAATATCTTAGGAAATGAAATAGAGCTTTAAATGATATCCTTTATTACCAATGATTAGCTAATATTCTTGTTTCTTTCAAAGTCAGAGCCATTGTATTTTGCTAGGTGGGCTCTTCATAAAACAGAGATATTTCCAGATTAAAGAAAACAGCAATGGTGTAATCAAATGAAAAACAAATCTACCTTCTCCGGTTTCCTTCTTTGCTTGATAGCATCATTTAAGAAGTTTCCTCTGTCTCATAAGTATTATGAAGGCGTTGTTTCAATGTGTTGCATTTGCATCTCTCACAGAGTTTAAATTTACGCTAAACTTCACTTCCTATTGCCATGGCTCATCTTATTTGAAATTCTATTTGTAACTCAAATTAGCATAATGGTATCCCAGCTTTTCAAGTACCCAACTAATCCTAGCTAGGAATGGCAGCTCTGTTTCACGCGCATGCTGTGATTACCAAAGTGCACACATTTTTTGCTCTTGGGGCAACCTTAAGAGAATGTGCGAGCATGTTGATCCCAATCCAGGTCTTGAACAAGGAAGAAAAAAATAATTACCACTCGAGCAATCACTTAGACTTCAAAAGGAGCATCTTGATATGATTGACGCAATTTAACCTGGTTTTGTAGCAATTTTAAGGAGAACTAAACTGCATGTGGATGTGCAAGCAATACTTGAGAATACAAAAAGCTTGAGAGAAATAGAGGCCCTGTGTTTTGAGTACTTGAGCAATGGTAGAATAATTGAAATGAAAATTTCATGTTCATTAGTCTTTGTTCTTTCCGAGAATAGAAGAGATTAGATTAATATTTTAATACAGACAAACATTCGAAAAGACTTGACCATCTTCTTCCTGTATTTTTTATATTTTACTTTATTGGTTACATCCACAGGAATATTGCCATGTACAATATTGATACCCGGTCTGTTCTTCATACCTGAATCCCCCCGCTGGCTGGTAAACTTTGTTCAGTAAGATCATTTTGCAATTCTAGCTTAAGTTTTGTCTTAGTTCATTCTAGATTCATTCCTCAAATACAGGCGAAAATGGGCATGACAGAAGAATTTGAAGCTTCTTTGCAAGTTCTCCGAGGCTTTGATACTGATATTTCATTTGAAATGAATGAGATCAAGGTAGTGTCGAGTTAATTTTTCATTTGAATTTGCAGTTGTCATTGAAAACTTGAGATGTAGAAGCCTCCTTCCGAATGAGTTCTTTCTGAGCAAGCTGATGCTACATCTAGTTCGTTTACTTTAATGCTTGCTTCTTGGGGGCACTTGTTTAATTAATTGCAAGTAGTTTCCTTGGTCTTTCACAGAGAGCTGTTGCCTCAAGCAGCAGAAGAACTACCATTCGATTTTCAGAGCTCAAACAAAGAAGATACTGGTTCCCTTTGATGGTAAACACTTTCTGGAAGTTTTTCTTTCCCTTCATGTGTTTTGCCCTATTAAATCAAAGGGTTATTGTCTTCCACAAATGTGATCTGCAGGTTGGGATTGGTTTGCTTATCCTGCAACAGCTTAGCGGGATAAATGGGGTTTTATTCTATTCTACTACCATTTTTGAAGATGCTGGTAAGCATGTTGCACTCCCTTCCTTCACATGGTTGTGAAGAAGAATTTCCAGTGGAATTAGCTTTTAAATTAGGTCATAGACAGTAAGTTTACCCATGCTGACTACCCTGTGGCTGTCAGCTATGTTTTTCCTTTGTGTTGAGTTTTTCGAGCAAGCAAATTGAGTATCATCTTCTGTAACAACTTACCCTTATCAGTAAGCATCACACTCTAATTTCCTTGGTGTTTTCTTTTGTCTCAAATAGGGGTTACATCAGGCAACGCAGCAACAGTTGGAGTCGGTGTAGTTCAGGTAGAACATCAATAGGCTATTAATGGGCCTTTACATTTTGTGATTGAGATGTCAGCCAAAATAGATTATCTTCCTAAGGCATGATTAAGGGACAATATGGCTTTTAGGTTATTGCAACTGGAGTTACCACTTGGTTGGTGGATAGAGCAGGCCGCCGGCTTCTTCTTATTGTAAGTATGACAAACCTTTCAGTTTTGGGTATTGCCGGCTCAAGCAAAAGATTAATGACTGTCTATTACAGATTTCCTCAGCTGGGATGACTGTTAGCCTTCTTTTAGTTGCAGTGTCCTTCTATGTGACGGTAATACTGTAGTTTGCTTCACATGCTCAACCAAAGTATATTTCCTCTAGAAGCTTTTGGAAATACTCATTAAGGGTTTCCTCTTGATGAATACAGGGCTCCGTATCAGAGAGTTCTAGTCTTTATAATATTTTTAGCATCTTGTCCGTGGTTGGGGTTGTGGTAAGTCACTATGGTCGATGCTGGTAGATACATGTCCCATATGCTCATTGAAAACGTGAGGATGCATGGTAACATTGTCCTATCTCTGTCTTCCTATCAGGCTATGGTAGTTACATTCTCGCTAGGAATTGGAGCCATACCATGGATTATAATGTCAGAGGTAATATCACTCGGATCAAATCTGATCTTGTTAGAACTGGCATAATCGTTCTCTTGAAATGACAGTTTGGTTTTGCATGAAAGGAAGTTGTTCCACTGACTTTGCTGTTTATTTCTTAAGCCGGATATGTATGACCTACAACTATAATGTCATGGTCAACAAAAATCTACTCTTCAAAAAGAATGGAAGCAAGAGAAACTTGAATCATCATGTTTGTAAGCATATTCAGAAAGTTTAAAAGTTTGGACTTAAATTATGCAGTCTATCATTTTTATGCCCTTCCTTTTCGGCTGGACTGGGTTACGTTTCCTAGTATCCCTTCTAGGCAAAGGGAGAACCCAGGATCTTTCATCTTGACTTTCATGATAGAATAAACACAATCTAGTGAGCCCTACCTATGAAATGCTGGCCTAGATGATACTCTCTGCAGTAATCTGATGTAATAGGATGAAGTGACTGGCCCACTAAAATATCTTTGATGCTGAAGGAATCTGTTCATCTTGTATGGGTGTGGGGAGAGAACCACCACGGGGAAGATAGCAACTTTGCATTTTCATATGAAAGATATTGTGATCTTGTTTCCTCTAAATTCGAGGTTATTCTTCTGGTGAATGCAGATTCTTCCGGTCAATATTAAAGGCTTAGCTGGAAGTATTGCCACACTTGCCAATTGGTTATTCTCTTGGGTGATCACCATGACAGCAAATTTGCTTTTGACTTGGAGCACCGGAGGTCTTTCTCTCTCTCTCTCTCTCGATCGCGCACACATGCGTTTACTCTATTTTCAAAGTTGGATGTGTATTTGACTTGGCTACCTAACATCATAAACAGGTACCTTCACTATCTATATGGTTATTAGCGCTTTTACTGTGGCGTTCGTTTCCATTTGTGTGCCCGAGACTAAGGGAAGAACGTTAGAAGAAATTCAAAGGTCCTTCAGATGATAGTCTCTCCTTTCCTCTCGGGTTGCTGTCTTCCCTTTCCCTCTCTCTTTGAAGAGACAATCTCTGCATTCCCCGGCATCGAGATTTGGCACAAGCTCTGAGGGAAAGCAAGATGTACAATCACTTAGCATATAATTGCAGCCATTTTCTTCGGCCAGCAACCATTTTGCGACTGTATTGCTTTCATGGCTTCATTAAGTCACTCTTCAGAGCGTTTTTCTTTACAAGAACTTGTTAAGTTTCTTGGCATTGTAATTTATCTGTCACTTGAGGGAAGACTGGATTGTAGTGAATCTGAAGAAAGGAAGTTTTGATGGAGTTGTTTTGCTGCTTTTGGACATTGAATAGAATCCCAATACTTTTATTTGTATTTGGTAATACATAGACATGCATTCCAAAGTACCCATGAACATTACATTTCTTAGGATGAAGAATGACATGTTAAGCATATATCATGTCACGACCATCTAAAGCCAATGGATTTCAACTAAAGTCAGAATGGGAGTTGTGTTTATGATTACTACGTAATATCACTCTCACATTTTACATGTTTTGTTTTTCCTTTTCTAGAACCACCTAACTAGAAGTCAGTGCAGCCATAGCCTGAAAGAGAGACTGCAACCAACGTATATTTTTCTCTTTTTGGCCAAAAGCAACCAATGCATTGACCGATGGAAATATGTTACGAGTCAAAGGTTTCACTGTCCACAATGAACTGGTCATCTGATGGGTCACTGGCCTCTGCTTGTCAAGCATTTAAGGTACCAGCCGAATAGTGAAAGGTCAATTCAATGTCCTCATGTTCCCTTACCGGCTTAACGAGACAACTTACACTGTCCAAACAATAGATGTTCATTGTGAATCAACCCAATAAAAAGAACACGAAAACTCTTTTCACTGTTAACTATCTATTAGAGAGGAGAGTCATTTATAAATAAAATTTATTTTAGTCTCGAGGAGAAAGGAGGACAAGCGGTCTTATTTGACACCTCAATATTACTGGAGTCTCCTCATAATTAACCTTGTCAACCCAACATACCAAATATTCTCGGATTCAGGAATTTATTTAACTGTGAACCGGATAGAACTTGTGAGCCTAGAGCTAAAAAACGATTGGGATTGTCTCTATATCACATTCGACATATAACTGAAGAATGTAGCAACGTAACAGTGTCTTCCAACATAAGAGAAACCAAAAGCAAGGAAAGCAAAACACAAAGTTTATAGTTGGTGCAATGTAGTTTTTGTTGATTGAGCTAAGAAACCATTCTCATAAAAGACCAACGGTAGCATCTTTAAGGAAGGTCAACAGTCAGTGCTGTGATCGGATTCACAGCACTTCCTTTATGAGTTTCTTGGTGAGAGCTTTGGGGAGTCCCATGACGCTATCAGTTGTTCCTACCTGCAACCAAAATTACCAGCTAGTGTTAGTCTGCTCGCATAGTCTCAAGAAGCCACCAACTCAGGGTTGTGTACTCGAAACATAAAGATTAAAGAAATAAAAAGCAATTCATGTATAGACTATTTATCTGGGCACTATAACAATTAAGACCAGCCTCCCTTCTTTACTCTTTTTGAACAGTGTAACAGTTAGCCAACAGTTCCGTAATGATCTCTGAACAACAAAGCATTAACTAAGAAAGAAGCAAACTATCGCATTCTCCAAAACTAGAAGTCTACAACCATACAATGCCACAACATCATTGTTGACATTGCTGTGCCATTGTTAAATTATAGAGATTAGTAAACCAACCACTTGCTTCACGAAGGGCAATATCAATGGATGTTCTATAATTAGTCCCCCAGCAACATTAAGCACAATCCCTTCCTCCACCTGTACAACAAGAGAATATAAATCTTATTTAGCTTGCCATGTGACAAACCAAGATTTGATCAAATCAAAAGATAACATTACAAAACGAAAGGAACACTCTTCACCATCTTCTCGATGATATCATCTGGTATTTCATGAAAGAAGATCTGCAGGGCAGTACCACAAGCAATAGTTAAATAGATCGTCATTGTGGGAATAAAAGTTTGACCTTTGATTACAACTCTATCAACATCATGAAATTCACCATTTAAAGAACACAAGCAAAATGAAAATCCTAAAATTTCATGGAACAACACAGCCCCTTCTCACTTCACAAAGCGGGAAACAAGTTTCAGTGGCACATACTGGAGTGACAATGTCAGTTAAAAAAAATGATGAAATAGCAGGAACTTCTAAAGAAGCTTGAGTACTGTTGACTCAAAAAAACTCTAAAACTTGGACTCTTGTAAAATTGCAAAAAACAATCAGAATAAAGGCTTGCTCTATTTATACACAACAAACATAATTTGACAAAATAATAACCCAGAGATCTCTCCAGTCACCAGCGGAAGATCAAAAGCTAGACCTCTAAAGCATTTGATCAACATCAGGCAGTGAAGAAAGCGCAGTGTAAAGTAAGCAACACATTGCACAATGAGTCTACACATGTTTTCGAGAACTTTTGCACGGGAAATTAGCAGACAACTGCTGTTTCGCTCAATAAAAAATTTGCACCAACAAGTAATACACATTAGAAACTTATTTAGCCCGCCATTTGCATAACAGAAACTTGTCACTTGTTCAGCTTAAAAAAAACTTCGTACCCTGTTGGTCAAAAATCATATGGTCAAAATCAATGTTTCCATACTGTACTGGAGATCTAACCATAATGGTGTTCAGCATCTGTTGAAGCGATCAGAAGTCTAAATACCGGTCGAAACACTCAAATCAGAATGGCCTTCATTTTCTTTTTCTCTATGAGAAGGAGAGAAAGTACCTCCACACGATCCCATTCTCCTTTTCTACTTCCAGTTTTGAGATTCGTAACAGAAACAGATCCAACGGTTGCAGCATGTCCACCAGAATATCCTGCAACCTATTTGGTTTAGATTATACGGTCATGGAAAAGGGCATCAATGATGAAGTGGATTGAAACATTTTAAGCAAACCTTTCAGAAATTCTCGTGCTTCTTCCTTACTGGATGGTTTTTCCCTAACAGCATCTCCATAGACCACCACCTCCAGATCAAATTCACAGTTAGAAAAAACACAAAGCGGGCTGTTTCTAGAGAAGAATTCCGAACTAAGCAAAAGAACATGTTTTATCACCATCCAGGACAGCCATCTACGTTTGAGGATACAAGGTGTTTTTAGGAAATTAATAGATAGATACTCAATAAATTTCTCCTTTTAATATGCGAATGTATAAGCACTTCTATTATTGTAGACACACCACATATCGACAGTGAAGGAATTGATCAAGTATAGAACACATTAACAAAAAAGGACTTTTACTTGATCCGAAGTTATAAGTAATGTGGGGTCAGCATCCTTGATGTAGTCACCAAGAGGTATCTTCTGAGAGATGGCTTCTGCCTGACAAGAGGTTCCATGAAAGGAAGTAAGCACCTGAGTTACATCACACTGCGGCCACCAATGGAATCCAAGCACAGTGACAAACACATTATACAACTAAGTGAGATCACCAATTCTCTGGCTCCTGTTACACAAAAACGAACTACCGTCTAAAGAATGCAACATCTTGAGCATCAACTATATCAAATGTCAATAGCATTCAGTACCAGTCATAGCTTGTGACCCCATAAGAGAGTAACCAGCACATTCAAGACCAAAGAATTCCTACAACGAGGTGTCCGGTCCACAGACCAGAGTATAGGCTGTAGTTAATTTGTTCAAGGAAAGGATTTGCTCATTTTTTTCGTATGAGGTAAAAAGGTTCAGAATGCAACTCAGGCCAGGGCATATAGAAGAAACCTCACATAGATAAAGGACTTGCACGATGCTTTCACCTTGCCAAGCTACATATCAGCTTTCAGGAAAAAAAATTGGCCTGTTGCTGGTCCTCCCTTATCAAGATCCAAGGTCATGGGGGTTAATTCCTACTTTCAGTCTCCTAACCCCAACTTGTTTGTTGAAAGAAAAAATACATTGCACGTTTCCCAAATTTAAAATCTCAAAAGTTGTGAACCGTCAACGCGTGAAAAGAAAAAAGGGTGAAAACTAATAATATCAAGTTATAAAGTAATAAATTAATGTATCCTCAAATCCATAGATGGCGCTAGGTAGGTGACCAATTGAAAGGGTTTACATAAGGAAATTTGACAAGCAAGTGTAGGAAAGATGTACAGTGTCTGCTGCAATCAAAATTCTTGGTTCAGAATCCTTCGCTTGGCTATTTATCCGTTGTAATTTGGATGTGATAGCGGTGGCCTGTAATAAAAAAGCAATCAATGGAAGAGATCACAAACCCAAATTACATCTAATTCATTCCTACAAAAAAGAACCGGAAACCGGAATTAGGCAAGGCTGAGGACTAAGAACCTGCTCCTAACATGATATGTTATGCTAAACTGAAGAGTCCCTTCATCACTAGCAGCTCGACTAATAAAATCTTAGGGTTACATATAATGATGAAACATCCATAACACTCTCGGTAATCAAACAGCACATAATTTTCGAAATTATGCAGCACGATTCGACATTTTAAAGAATCACATCACCTTAGCCTCGGCGAGAGCCATCACCAACTCCTCCGGCTTATCCTTCCGGATTGATTTCTCATCAATATCTGCAGTCTACCTAACAAACCAAAGCTAAAACAAATTTCCGGGCAACACCGGCGAATTGCAATAACAAGAAGTAAACCCACGAGAGACAATCATACCATGACGGTGAATTCATACCCCATTTCAGCCAATATTTTCCTCCGGGCTATCGAAGAAGAGCCCAAGATTATCTGCACAATACAAAGCTTAGCATACCATTTTTACTTCAAGTATAACCCAAGAGAGAATACGAGTTTCTTTCTGAAACGAAAATGCAGCAACTCGGGGCACCAATTTAGCGGCTTTTTCTAGTTCCTCCTCTCTCTCTCTCTCTCTCTCTCAAGGATGAGAACAGCGTGCTTCAGTGGAATGGGAGGTGCGACAGGACAGAGGCCTACCTTGAAGGGAGAGCAGTTCGCTTCCATCTCTCCCGGCGACGAGAAAATTGAACTGTTCGTTCACCTCCGATTTTGTTGGGGTTGCTGGTGATATGATGTCTTTAGGGTTATTACAAACAAAAAAAAACAAATTTATTCTCAAATTAATTATTTGACCATAAAAAACCTCAAATTTATACACATTTAATAAATTTATTTCAAACTAATTTTTTTAATCACTAAAAAACTTCAAACCGGTGCACTTGCGACAAATTTACCCTTCGTTATTTTCCGTTAAATTGGATTACTATAACGAAAAATCACAAACTAATATATAAAACAGGAGGGTAAAATCCAAACTGGTACACCAATCAATTATCACGGGTCATCCAACTTAGTAATTTGACGAAAAATTTAATGGAAACTAACGGAGGGTAAATTTGTCACAGTTATACTAGTTTGGTGTTTTTTATGGTCAAAAAATTAATTTGGGATGAATTTATCATAAGTATATAAGTTTGGGGTTTACTTTGACAAGTGAAACGACAACGTAGAGATTAATATACCTTCGATTCCAGCCATTGATTGTACCCAGGGACTACTTTTGAATTGAATCTATTCGCTTGCATTGAATCAATTATCACGAGTCATCCTACTCAGCAATTTGACGGTAAAATTTAATAGAAACTAACGAAAGGTAAATTTGTCACAGTTGTACTAGTTTGGTGTTTTTTGTTATCAAAAAATTAATGTGGGGTGAATTTATCATAAATATACAAATTTGGGGTTCACTTTGCCAGGAGAAACAACAACGTAGAGATTGATATACCTTCGATTCCGGCCATTGATTGTACCCAGGAACTACTTTTGAATTGAATCGATTCGGTTCAACTTTAATCTCGCTTTTGTGTGTATATTCTCTTTTATTTTTTAAACAAGGTTTTGGTTGAGCGATGTATATTTAGTTCATGTACGTCTAAGACTCAGAAATCATAATTGCTTTTATCAATTGATTGATTAATCGTCTAATATATTTAGATTAGATTTTCCTGTGGTAGAAGAATGCTCGGATCTCTCCTTGACTATTCTTACTCTTGGCTGAGTCAAACACAACTTGTGAAGATTGATTTTGTCTCTATTTTCAAAGCCGGCAAAGTGGAGGACCATGATTCATGCTCCACTCGTGTTACACAAAATTTCACATGCATGGTAGTGTGGCTTTCAAACTTACTCTTAATAGCAAACATTGTGATTCGAGCACTATATTGCCACATTTAATCCAATTGTTTAACTACTCAATCAATCCTTGATTTGAAGTCTCCCCTAGCAGTTGGATCTCTATTCCGCTCAAGCTTTTTGGGATTTATTTTGCTCCGATGCTTTGGATGTTTATTCACAAGACTCTCTAAAATGAATGTTATCTAATTTTTTTCCGACAAAAAAAATGGGTTAATATCATGAAAACCCCAAACTGGTATACTTGTGATAAATTTATCTCAAACTAATTTTTTGACTACGAAAAACCCTAAATTGGTACATCTATGGCAAATTTACCACAAACTAATTTTTTTATCGCCAAAAACCCAACTAGTATACTTATGACAAATTTACCCTCCATTAAGCTGGATTAATACCATAAAAACTCACAAATTAGTACACTTGTGACAAACATAAAGGTAAAACCCCAAACTAGTACATTCGTCTATCACGTGTTATTTAACTCAATAATTTGAAGGTAAATTTACTAGAAACTAACGGAGGATAAATTTGTCACAAGTGTACCAATTTAAGGTTTTGGGTGGTTAAAAAATTAATTTCGGGTAAATTTGTCGTAGATATACCAGTTTAGGGTATTTCGTGGTATTAACTCAAAAAAAAAAAATCAATCATTGACTTGAGGGTAAAACTAAATAAGATATTAAACAACCAAATCCAATCCAACAGACCAATTAGTTTGATTTGGTTCGGTTCATACTATCACTTAGTTCAACTTTGATTGTACAATCCGAATAAGTTCAATACTAGGATCAAACGAGTCTTGAAACAGGATTTGATTGATTACATGTGCGTTTATTGCCTTAATTGTAACTCTTTCCCCGTGAGGATGCTCATTTTATGGTAAATGTGTTAAATATAGTTTTATTCCCAATGGCTTATTTCTTCTGTGATTTGGTCCCTGAATGGAATTTTTGCCATCAGGTCATCAGAGTATCTCGATTTGTGCAATCAAGTCCCACAGTTAGCAAGCTCCCATTAAAATGTTGATGTAGTGATGCTGGCGTGGTATTTTTAACTAATATGGCATTTTTTAGCCCAAAATTTCTTACGTGGATTTTATACTACTAAAACAAAAAGAAAATTTCAACTTAAAAATATGAACGTGAGAGACTAGAACCCTGAACTGCTTTCTCGTCCCCCACTTCTCTCTACCGCTTGCCATTTTGGGCCGAATTTTTTCTTTTGGTCGGAATTGATACCGCATCATTTAAGATATTCCACGTCGGCATCCCCACATCAGCATTTTAAGGGAGTTTCCAACAGCGATTACTAGTAGGTGTAGGAACTTAGACTGCACAATGGAGATACTTCAAGGACTTAGATTGCACAAAATCAAATTTAGGGCGCGAATAACAACATTTCTCTTCCCCGGCCCTATTTCTGGCCAGAAATAGAAAAATCTATTTCTTTTTCCCAGACGAGTTTATGAGCAAAAAGTAGCATTTGATAACGACGTAAAATTTCTGTTCTTGGAATAGAAATTCGTTTGATAACGACACAAAATTTCTATTCCCGCTGGTCAGAGAGCGGCGGCGGTGGCGAGTGGCTGCGGTGGACGGCCGGCAGGCGGTGGCGGCGAGTGGACGGCCGGCGAGGGGCGGCGGCAGACGGCCAACGAGTGGAGGCGCGTGGGTGGCAGCGGACGGCCAGCGAGTAGCGGGCGGCAACGAGTGGGCAGCGGTGGGCAGCAAGAGTGAGCAATAAATAGAACAGAGAATTGTTATTTTTGTTTTTATTCCAAAAATAGAAAAGTAGAAAATTTTAACTTATAATTTCTGTTCCAAATATATTTCTAGGCCAAAATTTGTCTCAAAAATTAAAAAAAATGAAGTTATTTTACCAAACGGATTGATGTTCCAAACCCGTTATCGGGGAAAAAAAATAGAAAAACAGGAAAACGGAATAGTTATCATTTGCGTCCTTAGTGTCTGCTTGATAATCCAAAGTGCTAATAATCAAAATTCAGCACTTAATGTGATTAAGCTTGTTTGATAATCTTAAATGCAATTGACTTAATGTTCAATTAACTCAAAAATCCACTTACTCTAATCAGTAAAAAGGGGTTACTTAGGGCACGAATGATAACATTTTATTTCTCTATTTTTCTATTTTTTTGTTCCCGGGAACAGGTTTGGAACAGAAATCCGTTTGGTAAAGTAATTTCATTTTTCTATTTTTGGAACAAATATTTAGTCCAGAAATAGGTTTTGGAACAGAAATTAGAAGTAAAAATTTTCTACTTTTCTATTTCTAGAACCAAAAGATAAACAAAAACTCTTTTCATCACTCGCATTCGCCTCCCACCGCACGCGGTCGCCGCCACCACCGCTGGCCGCCACCCGTCAATAAATGGAAAATAGTGTAAGAGGGAGAAATTTTGCGTCGTTATCAAATGAATTTCTGTTCCAAGAAGAGAAATTATGTGTTATCAAACGTGTATCTCTGTTAAAAAACTCATCCAAGGAATAGAATTTGGAAAAATCTATTTTTGGCAAGAAATATATTTCTTGAATAAAATGGTTATTATTCGCTCCCTTAATTTGTTTTACTGAAAGAATAATTTCTGGTATTTAAAATCTTGCCAAATGTTTTGATAAAAACTACCAATAATGGTCTTTTTTCTATGTTTGGTAAGGGATTTATAATGTCCAGCTATCAAATTTTAATAATCTGCAAACAACTTTTAATTACTATTTTCAACACTTAAAATTTTATAACTTAAAATTCGGTAGTTGAATTCTAGTACTTAATTTTCAGTATTGTCAAATGAACTCTTACACATGGTGAAACATGGAGGATGAGAATTGTACTTAACTTTTTAGTAAGTCAACGTAAATGTGATAAATAACTCTTTAATCATATGCTATATTAGTTAGCACGAAATCAGAAGGTTGACGGCAATTTTCTACCACTAGAGTACGATGACTCGAGACGACAAAGGGGCCCTCAGAAACCCAATAATTTTTTAACCCTACATACATGCATTTTGGCGAAAAAAGAGAAACCCAATTATTTTTTAAAAAAAAAAAGCATTGCCGATAAAAGTTTTTTCTTTATACAAGTTACGATTGTCCATATTTTATGCAAAACTAGCAAAAGTGTGCAAGCATCGCGTGTGTAATAAAAAAAAACTTTTAAAGGATTTTTGAAAATCTCCTTATAAAAAATACTTAATTATTATGCAACGAAAAAATTATTGGCACAATAGAAAAAAATTGGACAAATTTCTAGAAAGAGAAAATATTCAAGATTTGAAAAGTTCTGTATTGTGAGATTGATCATAAAAACAATTTTATGAATGCAAAGTTTATTCAATAATCAATGAAATCTCTTCATTATTGTGAAAACTTCACTTGAGTTTGTGCCTGAAACTCGAAGTGACAGGTAGAAATGGAATACGCAAAGCTCCTATGCAAAATTGGAGAAAATGCAAAGCTCCTATGCAAAGGAGGATAAAACCTAAAAAACTTCCCTACTCTCAATCCAGGATGTTGTTTTGCATGATCGGGCAATGGATTCGGTTGAATATTAGGATTAGCATTGCGAAATGAGAACACCTTCGCATCTAAATACGTTTATGGCAGATTTGGGTATGTAGCTTTTACAATTTCTTATTCTCCTTGGCAAGGAAGGAAATGTTTAACCGATCATTTTATTTGGTTTTACAAAGGAGTACAAAACCTAAAAAACTTCCCTACGCTCTATCCAAGAAGTTGTTTTGCATGATTGGGCAACGGATTCGGTTGAATATTAGGATTAGTATTGCGAAATGAGAACACCTTCGCATCTAAACACGTTTATGGCAGATTTGGGTATGTAGCTTTTACAATTTCTTAATTCTCCTTGGCAAGGACGGAAATGTTTAACCAA